GAGGGACAGCTGCTGCCGGTACCTGCAGACATGGCCACACCACCATCAGGGCTTGGGGGCCCTTTGACAGGAAAAGCCAAGGGGTCTGGGGCCATGGGGCCGCCTTCCTGTCAAGGGGGAAGCTTAGGCTGGCCTGTGACGTGCAGACACAGGACAGTCCGATACGTGTCCAGGTGTGCAACCAGAGACTGAGGCCAGCCTGGGAGAGGCGAGGATGGAGCCAGGGAGCTCGGCACACAGGACGTGGCCACCCAGAGCCCAGGGAGGGTAGCAGCCACCGTGGCAAATGCAGAAGAGTATGGCGAGAGCTCGGGACCAGGACACTGGAGTCTGGGGGCCTCTGGAGGGTGGGGCCACGGGACAGGACACAGAGGCCGCCGGTCACCACCGAGACTGATGCCTCTCTCTTGATAGTCTGCACGCCCTGGGCCAAGTGGCTGCAGAGATGCGGGACCGGGGAGGCCAGGCAGTGAGCGCTGGGCTGGAGCCAGGGACCGCTGCTGCAGGTGGGGCCAGAGGATGCCCAGGCCCCACTCCTGACCTGCATGTCTTTGTCCCTGGTCACCCGAGGTGACCTGATGCTGTTTGAGGCAGGGCAGCCATGGCTGCAGGCTGTCAGAGGGTCCCCGAAGGGCCTGGAGCGCTGACGGCCCACGAAGGAAGGGGCACTGGCCAGGCTGTGGCCGAGACTGCAGCAGCAGGAGCTGGGAAGGGGCCGCCTGGGCCGGAGGGCAGCTCCTAGCTCCTGATGGCAGCATGTAAGCCCCTAGCCATCGAGCCCACGTGGAAATGCCCACTGCTTGAAGGTTCCTGGTCATGGGAACCAGCAGTTAGCGTAATGGCTATGTCGCTGGATTCCCACGTAGTCGACCGCGGTTCGTGTCCTGGACCTGGTGGCTTCAAACTCACGCCGGGCATGTGTGCGTGCGTGCCCAAGATCCCGAGAGAAGAATGGAGGAGAAGGGATTGCAGCGTGACCATCCCCCCTGGGGGGTGATTTCTTGCTTTCTGTCTCTATGTCTCTCTCTCTCTCTGTCTGGCAAGCGCACGCGCCCTATAG